ATTATAACAGCAAACACAGGGGAATAAATCTGGAATGAGATGTTCAGTAAGCACATATGGGTGGGGGTGCACATACTTTTGGTCATAGAGTGTAGTTAATGATTGAAGATTAGTTTAAAAAAAACTGTATTTTACACTCTTACTTCACTTTCAAGTACACAGCTGAATAGAAGCTAAATTGCTAATGCTAATACAGCCTAGGGTTAGAGACGAGAAGCACATGGTAAGTAATTACACTGCCATCATTAACCCCTGCCCCTCCCCCCTCAGGAAACACCGCCTCCTTTCCCCCTTTTACAAAGTGTTATCACCCTCAGGGATGTAGGGTGTGTGTGTGTGTGTGTGTGTGTGTGTGTGTGTGTGTGTGTGTGTGGTGGGGGGTGTCGGTACTTCCTGTAGTGTTTAATGTGTTTATACCCTGGAGACCCTTAACCATAAAACAACAAGAGACGGGTGTGAGACAGGAAAAAAGAGAGAGAAAGAGAGATGGGGGGATAAATAAACACACACACACACATACACAGTAGATATAAAGACACAACTTCAACCAATCAGAAACAAGGATTTAAAATATATATACAGTATATAGGTATGTACGTATGTATATTGTAATATGTAGTGAGCTGATGTAACAATGTGTGTTTTAGACATCGGCCCTGTTTCCATCACCAGCGACCCCAAACAGTTTCAACACGACCTTCAGGAGCTCTTCGTCCAGGTCAGTCCACCTTTAATATCTGACTCCGTGTGTGTGTATGTGTGTGTGTGTATGTGTGTGTGGGTTTGCGTGTGTATAAGTCTCTGTGTGTGTGTGTGTGTTACAAAGAGGAGATGACAGTTTGGAGATGAGAGAGGAGTGTGTATAAGTTTGTATAGGTGTGTGTATATAAGTGTATGTGTGTTTATATAACTGCTCAAGTGTGTATAAAAGTCTAAATGTATGGGTAGGTGTGTATAAGTGTGTATAAGTCTGTGTGTGTGTGTGTTTCCCAGGGGGGAGGTGACTGTCCGGAGATGAGTGTTGGAGCGATACACTCCGCTCTGGAAGTTTCTTTGCCTGGATCATTTATTTACGTTTTCACAGATGCTCGAGCTAAAGATTACAGACGTAAGCAGGAAGTGCTGCAGCTGGTGCAGCTGCGGCAGTCTCAGGTAACAGCACGGCATCATGGGATACCATACACACCTGGAAGGACATGATGAAAATACACCGCTCACAGTGCACTATAGGTAATACACACACTCACTATGTGTGTGTGTTTGTGTGTGTAGGTTGTGTTTGTGTTAACAGGGGATTGTGGTGATCGCTCTCAACCCGGTTACAGAGTGTACGAGGAAATCGCAGCCACAAGCTCTGGACAGATCTTCCACCTGAACAAACAGCAAGTTAATGAGGTAGGACACACACACACACACACACACACTGTGTTCTCTGATCCTGGGATGCATGTGAATCATTGGTTTGATGAATCAGCTGGAACTGATGTGCTGAATCGTTTGGCAGTGGATTCAGGTGACATGTTAATGAGTAAAAAGCAAATCCCTGGTAAAGAATGTTTACAGCTCACGGTAAGTGTATGGGGTGTGTGTGTGTGTGTGTGTGAGGTAAATGAGCTAACCTGTTTGTGTTCAGTATAAAGAGCAAATAAGTGTATCAGTGTGAACATTATGAACTCCCGACTCGGCTGAGTTTAGAATAAGTTGAAGTCTTTGTCATGCTTTTTAGTGTTAAGTAGTTTATTAGTGTTAATAACCTTTACATGCCTTTATAAATGTAACAGGAACTTGTTAAGTGAATCCAGCTGTGAGTTGCACATCTGGAGCTCCAGTTAAGCCTACAGAGTGACCCTGGATGTGAGAGAAGTGCTGAATGAATCACAGGGATGCAGTTCACTGTGGTTTAATAATTTGCTTGTCAGCTTTGGTAAAGGAGATAAGAGTAATAATCCCTAAAGCGCGCACACACACACACACACACACACACACACACACTGCTGTTTAATGTTGACATGTTTAATGTAGTTTCAGTGACCATCTGTGGTTAAATCATCTCTTAAATCCACACTGCATTTCTCTCTCTCTCTCTCTCTCTCTCTCTCTCACACACACACACACACACACACACACTCTCCTCTGATCTTTAAACATGGAGACATAAAATTGTGTGATGATATATGAAGTTGTCAGTCAGTTACACAAGGTAGACTAAGATGTGGGTGACCTGCCTGTCTATCTGTCTCTCTCTCTGTCTCTCTCTCTGTCTCTCTCTGCTTCTGTCTTTCTCTCTCTGTTTCTCCATGGGATCTGACTGCACATGTGTTCATCATTACAGCTTTCCCAGTTGTAAAATCCAAGAGGAAGCAGCTGCTGTCAGCAGAGATAGAGAGATAAAGAGAGAGAGAGTGTGTGTGTGTGTGTGTCTGTCTGTCTGTAAGTGTATACGCACATACACACACACACACATCATATGGACACACACACACACAGAGATATTTCAGATGTTTGGTGTGTAATAGGTTTACAGTAAGAGTGAATCAGTAAACCGTCACAACCCCTTTAGCGTGTGTATAGGAGTGTGTAGGAGTGTGTGGGAGTGTGTAGTGTGTGTATGAGTGTGAGTGTGTGTATGTGTGTGTATGTGTGTGCATGTGTGTATGAGTGTGTAAGTGTGTAGGTGTGTGTGTGTGTAGGAGTGTGTGTGCATGTGCGTATGAGTGTGTAAGTGTGTAGGAGTGTGTGTGCGTGTGTGTGTGTATGTGTGTGTGTGTGTGTGTGCGTGTGTGTGAATAGTATGGATACGTGTGTATGGTATGTGTGTGTCTGGAGCTGGTCCTGCTCTGTGTGTGTCAGAGCTTCACGGCCGTAAAAGTAATTTAGCGCATGGTTCTTCACTCAGACATGAACGCGGTTTTGTTCTGTTACACACTGACTCTAATTTCAGGGTCACATGACCTGCAGTGATGACATCATGTCTGATCTTTTAATTCTCTCATAGTGACTGAACCTGGGTTTATTTATTTATGTCTCTTTAGCTGTGAGATCTTCTGTGGATTAAAGAAAAAGGAACTCTATTAAGGAACTGATCCAGACTGAGGGTCTGATTTGTCAGGGTTGGCAGGGATTGCTGTAATTCTGGGGCAGTGGTAGCTCAGCGGTTAAGACATTAGCCTTCTGCTCAGAAGGTCATGAGTTCAAGTCCCAGCACTGCCAATCTGCCACTGTTGGGCCCTTGAGCAAGGCCCTTAACCCTCGAGTGCTCGGTTTTATAAATGAGATAAATGTAAGTCACTCTGGATAAGAGCGTCTGCCAAATGCCATAAGTGTGGATATGAATTTAAGGCCAGTGAGTTAAATATAAATCCTGCTCAGTGGCTCTTCAGTTGAAGGTCAGAATCAGACGTGACTGAGACACGCCTTTGTTTTGGACAAACGCTGTAGATAATTCTGAGGTCTGAATTTCTGTATTAACTCACCGCTACACACACTATCTCTCGATCACAGCGCTGGTTGTATAATGTTTAACCCTTTTTCCTTTGTTTACATTTTGCATGATTTGATATGGTTTTGTGTTTTTATATCATTTGTTAATAAAGACTCAGCTCAGTTTGTTCCTGAGATTAAATACCTGTAATTTCAGCACAGTGATGTGCGAGACTTGTGTTATTGTCTTGTTTTTTCAGGTTCTGAAATGGGTTGAGGAGACCGTACGGGCCATGAAGGTCCATTTGCTCTCTTCAGACCATGAGCTTGGTCAGGAGACACAGTGGGAGTTGCCCTTTGACCCCAGCCTTAAGGAGGTGACTGTGTCTCTGAGTGGTCCAACACCTCGCATCGAGCTCAGAGATCCTCTTGGTAACTGATCTCATTTATGGCCCTGATAAAGTCTGTGTGTGTGTGTGCATGTGTGTGTGTGTGTGTGCGTGTGGTGGGGGGTGTCAGTACTTCCTGTAGTGTTTAATGTGTTTATGTCAGTCAGTGATTTAAATATTGGTGTTTTAGGTCGTATTGTTGGTGAGAGACAGGGACTGAGAGAGCTGCTGAACATCCCAAACTCTGTTCTAGTGGTGAACCTGAAGAACCCACGTCCTGGACTGTGGACACTGAAGGTCTCTAATATTAATATAATGTTTTTGATTAGCATCACTGTATCAAGTCCAACTCATCATGTGTCATTAATCACAATATTCACACACATTACAATATTCTAAACATGAACATTACATTCCAGATTTATTCCCCTGTGTTTGCTGTTATAATAAGCTCCACTCTTCTGGGAAGCTTTCCACTAGATGTTGGAGCGTGGCTGTGGGGATTTGTGTTCATTCAGCTACAAGAGCATTAGTGAGATCAGGCACTGATGCTGGATGAGGAGATCTGGGGTTCATTTATTGTTTACGGAGAACATGCTCTAGTAATGTGGGCTTGGTCAATCCTCTGCTGTCTGCTCTGGTCAAGAATGGTTTGTTGCAGTGTGGTCTCTGTTTGTCTCTGTCCAGCACATGGACGTTGTTGTCCTGAAGGAATGTAGCTGGTTTACAGATGTAGTAGAGGAATTCAGATGGAGAACCTCAGATACATGAGAAAACAGCCAGCTAGCATTTGTACTACTACACACACAGAAATACCTGGATTACTGAAAATCTTCACACACGTGTCTGTAAGGTGTGTTATGTTTGCGTAGGTAGTGTCTAGTGGGCGACACACACTCCGAGTAACTGGAGTCAGTAACCTGGACTTCAGAGCCGGTTTCTCCACTTCAGCTGTCACTGAATTCAGCAGAACCAGAGAACGACCCGTCAAAGGTGAAAGATCATCAGAAGGAAGCTCACTCTGTGGGTGTGTTTCATTTCCAACACAGTGTTTGTGTGTGTGTTTGGTTCCTCAGGTGCTCCTGTGCATGTACTTTTGAAATGTTCAGGTCTGAACCCTCCTGGTGTGCTCAGTAGTGTGGTGTTAGTGTCAAAGCGTGGTGAGGATCTGCTCAGTGTTTCACTTCCTGTTCCTGTGGATGGAGGAGTGAGCGGAGTGTGGAGTGTGCCAGAGATGCAAACTCCATCTGAAGGCTTCTTCATTAAAGTCAGGGGAAAAGATGGAGGCGGATTTGACTTCCATCGACTCTCTAGTGTTTTATACACCAACATTATTCCAGGTGATTTCCAGCATTTCTCTTCTCTTCTCTTCTCTTTATTAATTTGTCTCAATTTGTTAATAAATATTACTATGTGAACTTTCTCCCTCACGTCTCTTTCTCCTGTTTTTTTTTTTTTTTTTTAACTTTTTCATGTTTAGTCATTCCTGTGGTGGAGATGCCCTCTGTCCTACGTGGGGTGTTAATGCAGAGTGTGTTAATTGAGTGCAGTGTGCAGAGTGACCTTCCCTTCACACTCACCTTCAGAAAAGACGGAGAGATGCTGGGACACCAGAAGAGCTACCAGTGAGAGGATTTTATATGTGTGTGTGTGTGTGTGTATATATATATATATATATATATATCTATATATCTATTTATCTATCTATCTATCTATGTATATATATATATATATATATATATATGTATGTATGTATAAACACACACACACACACAGTACTAACCCTCACCCCAGGGGGTACAATATCAGCAAAGATCAGAGACAGACTTTGAGGGAGTCAGAAACTACTTTAGCATTCATTTGAGAACACACATTAATGCTATATTAATATTCTTAACTAAAGCGCTTATAAATAAAATGCTACCACTACTAGTATGAATACTGTTTTGTATCATCTCACACACTCCTTCTCTTCACCTGTGTGTCTGTACTGGTGTGTGTTAAAATGATTTCTCTGTGTAATTGTAGGTCTTCTGCCAAAGTGTCATGGGAAATTTTTCATGTTTCTGTAAGAGATGAGGGAATGTACGAGTGTATGGCTCAGAGCACTGCGGGAGTTGGACGAGCTCACACACACTTCACTGTTATAGGTCTATGGCTCTCTCTCTCTCACACACACACTCACACACACGTTACTTTTATTTAACTCTGAATTTATTTATCACTTGTCATGTCTCTATGACCCTATAATGCTAACAATGCCCTATAATGTGTGTGTGCGTGTGTGTGTGTGTGTAAAATTGCTGATATAGCGCCCCCTATGATAGATCATAGTGTATCTGAGGTTACAGCTGTAGTTGGTGAGCCTGTCACTCTGCCGTGTGTGCTGATGGACGGAGCTCCACTTACTGACATCATCTGGACTCATAATGGACAGAAGGTAGGAGTACATTCTAACACTCTGAGCTCATCCTGCTGGCGTGTGTGTGTGTGTGTGCGTGTGTGTGAGTGTGTGCATTTGCAGGTGGGAGTGGAAACAAGTTGATGTGTTCTGTGATTTTTGCACCCTGTAGGTCCAGAGCGGTGAGCGGATCTCCATCAGGAGTGATGGCAGTCTGCACATGAAGAGAGCTGCCGCAGAGGATGCTGGGAAATACCTGTGCACTGCTGTGAATGTGGCAGGATCAGCGAACGTAACGGTCACGCTGCAGATCCACAGTGAGAAACAGGACACACACTGAGGCAGAATAAATAGTGAACATGTTTCACATTTTATAGAGATCTAGGGTTCTGATATGGGTTCTGAGTTCTGTTATGGGTTCTGATATGGGTTCTGAGTTCTGTTATAGGTTCTGATATGGGTTCTGAGTTCTGTTATAGGTTCTGATATGGGTTCTGATATGGGTTTGTTCTGCAGCTCCTCCTGTGATCTTGGCTGCTGCTGCTGCTCATTATGAAGCTGCTGAAGGAGTGTCTGTTTCTCTGCCATGTGAAACGACTGGAATCCCAAAACCGTCCATAACCTGGACCAAGGTAACACAATTAACACACTCAAGATCTAACACAGTGACCACTCAACACTTAACACACTCGACATTTAACACACTCAAGACCTAACACACTGACCACTTAAAACACTGCACACCTAAAACACTCAACACACTCAGGATTTAACACACTCAAAATTTAACACACTGGCTACTTAACACACTTTACACCTAACACACTCAAGACCTAACACACTGACCGCTCAACACTTAATGCACTCGACATTTACCGCACCTGATATTTAACACACTTTACACCTAATACTCTCAGAATTTAACAGTAGTTAATCCAGATCAGAGCCCATAAACAGTACACTAAATATGTATGCAGGCTGGTCAATTCTTTCTTTCTTTCTTTCTTTCTTTCTTGGAACAGTCTCCTTTAACGTACATGAAGTTCATGTGATTTGCTGTTTAAACCCATCTCTCTCTCTCTCTCTCTCTCTTTTTGTCCTGCTGTTCTCTTTCTCTTTCTGCCTCTCCTGCAGTCTCTCTCTATCTCTCTATCTCTCTGTCCTGACTCTCTGTGCCCCGAGATATTTTTCTTTCCTCTGAGTTGTTGGACATGATGGATTATTGAGGAGAGACAGGAGGACTGCTGTGTTAGATTAAAGTCAGGCTGGTGAAGTCATCACGCTGTAATACTGAGGAACCAAAAACACTGCAGTGAGAACATACAGGACATAGGAGCTGGATTAGGGCTGGAGTGATGTACAAGTATGCAATGATAATTAAATCTCTCTCTCTCTCTCAGGGCAATGAGCCTGTTTCCTCTCCTCCGCAGTCTGATGGGAGTTTGTTGATCTTCAGCTCGACTGCAGCAGATTCAGGACGTTACATCTGCACAGCGAGCAGCTCAGCTGGAGAAACACGCAGAGAGATCACTCTCACTGTCCACTGTAAGACCTGCTGAAAGACAGACAGGCAGAGAGACAGACAGAGAGAGATAGACAGACAAACAATTAGTTGACCTTTTATTTTTTATTCCAGCAAAGCCCCGTATCCTCGGAGCACATGAGCACACTGAGGTCATTAACACGATGGTGGAGGAGGGGGCAGAGGTCATCCTGCCATGTGAGGTTGAGGGAAGCCCCGCCCCCACTGTGTCCTGGAGCCGTAACGGACAGCTCCTTCCACCAATCACTGCGTGGTAGGACTCACTCCATTTCTGTTGCAGTAATATGAACTGTGTTCAATGGTGACAGGTCATTAGAATTATTCCTCAAACACCATATAATCTCTATACAAACTCAATATAAAACTCATAACAATATAAACTCATAAAATTATTAGGTATGATGTTGTACTGTAATGGTTTAAGAAGATGTACATTGTGTGCAGAGTGCAAGCAGG